TAAAACAAAATTTTCATATTTTCTTATTTTTCTTGTAATATGTGGGCTAACCCCTATGAAAATACTGAATTTTCTGATAAATGCTATCTATAATACTTAATCTCTTTAGTGTTATTTACAAATAACTAATCACACCATAAACTTATTTATAAGTATGGTAAACTTATTTTCATGGTTGATGGCCATCATTTCTAATTTTGTATTAAGTAATTTACTTAAACTTCATATAACACCTAATAAGTGGAATAACCTCTATAAAATCTCTATTTTCTAAAGAAATGGAAACATCTAAGGTCCTAAACCTCTTTAATATTCATACTATGTCAGTGCATAATGTATCTATGCAATAAAGCAAAATTTTCATATTTTCATATTTTTCTTGAAATATGTGGGTTAACCCCTACGAAAATACTGAATTTTCTGATAAATGCTATTTGTAATATTTAATCTCTTTAGTGTTATTTACAATTAACTAATCGCACCATAAACTTAATTATATGTATGGTAAACTTATTTTTATTGTAGATGGAGATCATTTCTAATTTTTTATTAAGTAATTTATTTAAACTTCATATACACTCTATTAAGTAGACTAACCCTAATAAAAACTCTATTTTCTAGAGAAATGAAAACATATAAGGTCTTAAACCTCTTTAATATTCATACTATATCAGTTCATGATGTAGCTATGCAATAAAACAAAATTTTCATATTTTCTTATTTTTCTTGAAATATGTGGGCTAACCCCTCCGAAAATACTGAATTTTCTGATAAATGCTATCTATAATACTTAATCTCTTTAGTGTTATTTACAAATAACTAATCACCCAAAAAACTTTTTTATATGTATGGTAAACTTATTTTTATGGTATATGGGTATCATTTCTAATTTTTTATTAAGTAATTTATTTAAACTTCATATACCATCTATTAAGTAGACTAACCCCAATAAAAAGTCTATTTTCTAGAGAAATGAAAACATCTAAGGTCTTAAACCTCTTTAATATTCATACTATGTCAGTGCATGATGTATCTATGCAATAAAACAAAATTTTCATATTATCTTATTTTTCTTGAAATATGTGGGCTAACCCCTACGAAAATACTGAATTTTCTGATAAATGCTATCTATAATATTTAATCTCTTTAGTGTTATTTACAAATAACTAATCACACCATAAATTTATTTATAAGTATGGTAAACTTATTTTTATGGTTGATGGGCATCATTTCTAATTTTTTATTAAGTAATTTACTTAAACTTCATATAACACCTAATAAGTGGAATAACCCCTATAAAATCTATAATTTTCTAAAGAAATGGAAACATCTAAGGTCCTAAACCTTTTTAATATTCGTACTATGTCAGTGCATGATGTATCTATGCAATAAATCAAAATTTTCATATTTTCTTATTTTTCTTGAAATATGTGGGCTAACCCCTACGAAAATACTGAATTTTCTGATAAATGCTATCTATAATACTTAATCTCTTTAGTGTTATTTACAAATAACAAATCACCAAAAAAAACTTTTTTATATGTATGGTAAACTTATTTTCACGGTAGATGGGCATCATTTCTAATTTTTTATTAAGTAATTTACTTAAATTTCATACAACACCTAACAAGTGGAATAACCCCTATAAAATCTCTATTTTCTAAAGAAATGGAAACATCTAAGGTCTTAAACCTCTTTAATATTCATACTATATCAGTTCATG